CCCAAGCCAGCTGCAGTCTACCTCCAGACTGCTTGTTCTGAGCCAATAAACTCCTATCAGGTTAAGCACAGTATACATCTGGTTTTGTGTTACTTGCAGCCAAAAGTGTTCCTAAATGATTAAGTACTAAATTACTCTCTAAAATGTCCACACTCGTTTCATTTAAAAGTCTATAAAAAGCATCTGGTTCCCAAAACTTTTGCTGACTTTGAATGTTGTCAGTCATTTAAATGTTCAACCAAGCTGACATGAGAAAATATTTCTTCACGGAGGTAAAGCATCATTTCATACATTTATTGGACATTCAAATTTCCTCTTCTGTGATTTTCTTGTTCCTATCTCTTGACCGCTTTTCTACTGTATTGTTTGATTTTTTCTTATTGATTTGCAAGGGTAAATTTCCAGATACCATAGCAGGCTGAGCTAAAGCCACGTGGAAGACTCTCTCTGTATCTTTACACTATCAATCAAGCCAAACACAATTATGAAATAAATTTCTGTGACAGGCCACACCTCTGACAGGGACAGCCCTCTCTGAGTGGTGCACCACCACGTGGCAAAGTGTCAAAAAGCAATTCAACTCGTGCAAAACACGCCAGCCCATGCTTCGTACTTCCTCTACAAATCTACACCCAAAGGAAGGTTTATGGAATAGTGAACCAGGTAGTCCCTTACATACATCATCTCATTTAACCAGCAAATCAAACCCAGGTGGCCATCATTACCATTTCTATTTTAAGAATAAATGATCAAAGTAAACTTTTTAAACTAATAGTTTCTTTCCTACCACGAAAACTTCCAACATCCCATGCCCCATAATTAAAAACAAAATGATTAAGTGTTTATCTAAAACTTAAATGATGTAAAATATACTGAGCCTGTCTAAATATATCAACATGTTTAAGGGAGAAACTGCTGAACCTGTTTAGTGGTTTATGAATCTGAAAAAGCTACGTCAAAGTTTGGCTCTAAAGTTTCTGCCACACAATTAACCAAATTTATTTCTAGTTTTCAAAGCAAAAAACTAAATCGAGTAGGATTTTAATGCTTCAGTAAGAAGGACCTACTAGCTAGCCACCCTACCCCAGAGTGGCAGGTGAGGAATTCCTCTAATCAGTGACCAACCAACCAATCTGACACTAGAAAACAAACAAAATAAACTGTGAAAGATAATAAAAGATTATCATGAAAAGCAGTGTAAACAAGTTGACTAGAACAAGCACCATCCTTGAGTATTTGTACGCAGTCTGGATTTTGGACAATTGACTCTTAAAGGCTAGCAGCTAGAGGAAAAAAGCTGGGGAGGCTCCTGCTCCTGGAATCAGGCTGGGGAGCAGCGGGAAGGCTGAAGACCTGGCAAATATTTCCTCGCTTTATGCCACACCTCTTCTCACAAGAGCCGTGGATTCTCTCTCTGGCAAAGCATCATACAAAGCACTCAATTCACAGCGGGAGATGAGCACAGGCATCAAATCTCCTTGATGCCTCCTACCAAATGGTCCCTGAGGGGACATGCCCAGCCCAGAGCCCACAGGCCAGGGCCCCAAGAACTGACAGCCCCAATGGCAACAAGGCCAGACCACCGAGGAGCTGCCCACTTGGCCCCCAGGAAGACACGGAGATACACCTGGAGCATCCTCGTGCAGAAATTTTTAGTCCATCTGTAAGGCACATAAAAATGCCTGGGGGAGTCTGAATTCTAATTTTACATAAAATAAAACAAGTCTGCAGACACAGACTTTTATGGTCTATGAAAGTGCAAATGGGTTGACAAATCCCCAATCTGAGGGTACCTCTGGGAGTTTCCTGCATTTTCCTGGTGGGCTCACCCAGGGGTTCCTGCTGGGAGAGAGGCAATGAAGTGTTCCTCCCACCCCCTCCCCACTCCTCAGTAGGGCTGTACACCTCACCCCACTGGTACAAGGGTGGTAACACATGGAAAAAAATCTGACTCTGCCGAAGTCAAAGGCCAGGCTTGGAGAGGGCAGGGGGCGTCCTGGTGGGCTGTTCCTGACCTCCGTCCAGGTGTTTGTAGGGCCACGCACAGCAGGAAGCTTTAATCATCAGAACAAAACAAGCCAGATTCCTCGGCCCTTCAAAACTGTCCAAGCCTCAGGGCAGCTCACATCAGGGCCAGTAAGTAGGGCACGTGACAGAGGGGGACAACAGGTCTCAAAGGGGCAGGGACACAAAGGAAAAGAGCAAAAAGGAAACAGAAGAGGGTGATGGGGCCAAAATGTGCTGAAATCAAACCAGGTGTTGTAGCACAGTGCTGGCTCTCAGGGAAGGGACACACCTGGCATTCTAAGGGCTCCCCAAGTACCCGCTAGAGCTGGGCCCTAAAAGAGCCCAGGGAGGACCAGACCTTGCAGATGCTCCCAACAGGCTGGTGTCACCGTCACCGAGACAGCAAAGAGCTGAGGGGGAGGTGGCTTCGCAATGCTCCCCCCGTCCCACTTGTACAACCAACTAAATACACCCAGGCACACAGCCTTACTGCCTGGTGCACACGTTCGACACAGGCAGGCCCACACACACAGCCTTCTTATGTGTGAGTGCACACACACACACCCTCCCAGGCAATGGACACAGCACAGTCAACCTGCCAGTTGAGTGTAGCAGGCACACAATCATACGAACACACAAACTCTGTCGGAAGTGAACACATGCAAACTCTCCGCAGGCTCAGGCTCATGAAGGCATGCACACACACTCCAGAACCTCCTAGCCAGATACAGAAACCTCTAATAAGGTACACACGCAAACTCACAGCTTGCCAGGAAAACCCGCACTCACAAGCTCTCTGATAGGTGCATACACACCTTTCCAACCTGTCTCCTGCACACACAGAGCACACACACGCGCGCGCGCGCACTCACAACTTCTCCGTCGGTGTGAACGCAAACACAAACTCCGGGCCGGGAGGGTCACCCCCGTATCACAACCTTCCCGGGAGAGGCGCACACCCCCTCACGCGCTCGGGGCGGCACGGGCACACTCCCCCTCCCTCCGGCACCCGCGTGCTCGCCATCTCCCTGCGGCGCACCCCGCACCCACGCACCCCTCCCCCAGCCCTCGCCGGCGCCCCACAGCCAAGTCCAGCAGCACGGGGTGTACCCACGCCCCCGGCCCGCCCCGCTCGCGCCCCTCCTCACCTTTCTCGCCAGCTCCTGGGGCCCGGACTTCGTC